TTCTAACAAACGATATCCTTTGTTGCAGGTCTAACATAAATGAGTCTGAGTTGTGGCATCAAATTGTGGTTCAAGCTAATTATAAGGATTTAGTTTATAAATGAGTGGCAGGGAATGATTTGAGCATTTGATGAAGCTATTCACGTGGCTTAATTTGGTGAAGGGATTATTACTATAAAAGGGAAGATTGCTCATTGTGGAAACTTGCCGATTTGATCACAATATTAATTGAGAAGAGAAATCCAAATTGCTGCTATAATATTAATTTGAAAATTATTCTTATTATATTTCAGAATTCTGCTGAGTTACACGTCTGCACCTGAGTCAGCTGAAGTATCGCTCGAAGGTCATCACGGCATGCACGTCTCGGTCCAAGTTAGATGTTAGGAAGGTTGTTTGTAGTGTGGTAACTAAGGCTGTGAGCCTAAGGTACTGTTCTATTGTAAAACTCCTGGGTGAACATCTATAGTGGATTGGGCAGACGTAGGAGAAGCGCTCCGAACTGCGTAACAAATTACTATGTACTTGATTTAATTACTGCATTTATTTTTGTTATTTATTATTGAGTTAATCAACGATTTGGTCCCTCAATTATTAGCGAACTGTCAATATAGTCCCTCAATTGCATATTCATCGATTTGATCCCCGAAAACAATTATTTTTAGTCGATTTAGTCCCTCAGACCGTCTTCCGTACATGGCCGGAGGGACTAAACCGACAAAAAATAATTGTTTTCGGGACCAAATCGACGATCGAAGGAACTAAATTGACTAAAAATAATTGTTTTTGGGGACCAAATCAATGAATAAGCTGTTAGGAATATAGCAGAATAATGGGGAAGCAAAGAATCGAAAATTGAGAATTATAGAAGTTAAATAATAGGGAAAATATGTAAACGAAGAAAATTATATAAATGACAAAAAGAATTAATAAAGTGAGAAATATAAAATATATATATATATTACTATCAAGGATGAATATTATATATATATATATATATATATATATATATATATATATATATATATATATATACACGTATGCTACGTGAAGACAAAAGAAAGAAGAATAATCAATTCTATATTGATGTAATGATGAGTGATTTACAAAGTAGCAAACCTAATCTATTTATACAATGAAATTTAGAGAGAAATAAGGGAAATGCATGAACCTCCACAAAGCTAGTTGAACATGCAAGAAGAGGGACCATGATGCATGCAATGTGGAAGGAAGTGGTCTCATGGATTTTGAGCCACAAATTATTATTTCCTAACAATCTCCACCTTGGATCAAATCCATTGTGGAATTAACAACTGGAACAGCCGACTAAACTCAAGCACTGCTTGAACTTAGCAACAGGAAGAACCTTAGAATAGCAGGATGGATCACTATCAACTTCCTTTGTGACTGAAAGAGCATAAGCAACCATGTTGGTTTCATCATCACTAGCATACCAAGCAGGTTTTTTAATTGTCCTCCTAAGACGATCCATAGCAATGGAATACTCTCGTTGTGGCTCGACGAGAGATGTTGTGCTAGTAGATGCATCATCTTTAGTATTACTATCAGCAGTAGTAACACTATCAATAAGCCTGAACTCAAACTCCACCTTTTCACCAGTACTCTGCGTCTCACTTGTACTGGGAACTTTTCAAGAAGAAAGTAGTGCATTTTCGTCAAAAGTGATATCTCGACTCAGAATGATTTTTTGAAAATCAGGAGACCATAGACGATACCCTTTTGACTCAAAGGCATAACCAAGGAAAATGCATCTGACAGCTCTCGGGTTTAATTTACCCGTACTGGAATGAGCATAAGCAGGACATCCAAAAACTCTTAAGATAGAGTAATCAACAGGATTACCTGACCAAACTTCCTCTGGAATTTTGAAATCAAGGGATGAATGTGGAGATCTATTTACCAAATAGCAAGTAGTAGAAACGGCCCCGGCCCAAAAATCACGCCGTTTCCATAACCCAGCATTAGAGAGCATACAACGAGCTCTTTCCAATAGAGTCCTGTTCAAACGTTCGGCAACACCATTCTGCTGGGGTTTACCAGGCAAGGTCTTGTGCCTAGCAATTCCATTTGCCGCACAAAAGTCATTGAAATTTAACTCACAGAACTCCAAGCCATTGTCTGTCCTGAGCATCTTGACTTTTTTACCTGTCTGAGTCTCAACAAGTATTTTCCACTTCTTGAAAATAGAAAATGCCTAATTTTTATGTTTCAGGAAATAGACCCAGACTTTACGAGAAAAGTCATCAATAATAGACATAAAATATCTACAACCTCCCATAGACTGGAATTTAGTCAGTCCCCATAAATCGGAATGTATATATTCCAATACATCTTTGGTACGGTGTGTAGCAGTAGAGAAACTAACCCTCTTTTGTTTCCCAAAAATACAATGGTCACAAAATTGTAATTTACCCATACCTGAACCACCAAGGAGGCCTTTTTTCGCTCAGGAGATGCATGCCTTTCTCACTCATATGCCCCAGACGCATATGCCATAATTGAGTGAGATCCGCATCAGACATCGATGAGGATACCGCTACTGAACCCGTCGCAGTACTGCCATGCAAGACGTACACGCTTCCAGAACGAGAAGCTTTCATGAGAACAACATAGCCTTTTATGACCTTCAAAACTCCACCTTCAGCTATGTACTTGTACCCCAGAGATTCCAAGGTGCCCAACGATATCAGATTGCGTTTCAAATTAGGAATATACCGAACATAGGTAAGAGCCCTGATAACGTTATCATGAGTTTTAATCTGCACACTTCCAATTCCACTAACCTTGCATTGGGTATCATTACCCATCAAGACAACTCCACCATCAACCGGTTCCAGAGAGACGAACCAGTCTTTGTGAGGACACATGTGGAATGTACAACCAGAGTCCAGAATCCACTCAGTTTCGCTCCGTTTGCAACCGGAGCTAACAGATAACAAAACATCGCCTTCTGAATCACTTTCAACAACACTAGCTTCGGCGGACTTCTTTTCTCTCTCTTGCTTGTTTTTCAACTTGAAGCATTCAGTCACATCATGACCATGCTTCTTGCAGTACTTGCAGGATTTGTTGGACTTATGTCCTTTGGACTTGGATCTAGAATTTTTAGTGCTACTCCCTGATTCAAGTGAACGACCCCTTACAGTCAAGCCTTCACCTTTGTCCTCAGACTTAATTTCAAAGTCAAACTTTTCTTTGGACAATAGGTTCGACTTAACATTGTCGAAAGTAAGGATATCACTTCTATTACCAGCATAATTTCTTTGAAATGCTTGTATGAATTAGGGAGAGAGACAAGCAATAAAACAGCACGATCCTCATCTTCAATTATGACATCAATATTTTCCAAGTCCAATAAAATAGAATTGAATTCATCTAAGTGAGATTTAATAGAAGTACCTTCCGTCATACGGATTGTGTACAGACGCTCTTTCAGGCGTAGCGTGTTCGCCAGAGTTTTGGCCATGTAAAGCGTATCCAGCTTGGACCATAAATCTGACGCAGTCGTCTCACTTAATAACTCACGTAGAACCTCTTTAGACAGGCACAAAAGAATGGTTGAACATGCCTTGTCATCCAGATCTTCCCAATCTACATCTGTCATTGTAGCCGGTTTCTTCTTCTTCCCAGCTAGCGCTTTCTTCAAACCGTTCTGGGTTAGAACGTCTTCCATCTGAACCTTCCAGATAGAAAAGCTAATTTTCCCGTCGAACTTCTCGATATCGAACTTGGTAACAGTTGACATCTTTGAAAATAACTCTCAATTAAACCGCTCTGATACCACTTGTTAGGAATATAGCGGAATAATGCGGAAGCGAAGAATCGAAAATTGAGAATTATAGAAGTTAAATAATAGGAAAAATATGTAAACGAAGAAAATTATATAAATGACAAAAAGAATTAATAAAGTGAGAAATATAAAATATATATATATATATATATATATATATATATATATATATATATACACACGTATGCTACGTGAAGACAAAAGAAAGAAGAATAATCAATTCTAAATTGATGTAATGATGAGTGATTTACAAACTAGCAAACCTAATCTATTTATACAATGAAATTTAGAGAGAAATAAGGGAAATGCATGAACCTCCACAAAGCTAGGTGAACATGCAAGAAGAGGGACCATGATGCATGCAATGTGGAAGGAAGTGTCTCATGGATTTTGAGCCACAAATTATTATTTCCTAACATAAGCAATTGAGGGACTACATTGACAGTTTGCTAATAATTGAGGGACAAAATCGTTGATTAACTCTTTATTATTACTAAATAACAAAAATTAATCGGTCGAAATTTGTTTGAAATTAAAAATCATGTAGAAGTTTTAAGTTAATTCTTGCATTCAAGATTCACGGCACTTTTTCAGTATACATTGCTAAAGGCATATTAAAATTGCATAATTTAAAAAACGTAATATTATGCGCGGGACAAGTATGCATAAAATCAAACTTAAAACTCATATGTTCGAAATAAATTTATGTGACAATATTCTAGTACAAAAAATAATTTTTTTGACATTAATGTTTTTCGGACTTTAAATTTTATTAAGTTTTCAAAATTTTATACGACCATTGTTTATCCAGGTTTATATTAGACACAGAGTCCGATTGAATAACAACTTCTAGTTATTCAATCCAACCAGACCACCTAATAAGCCTAGTGAACTTGCACCACTTAATTAAGGCCCTAATATATAAAGGGAAAATCTTACAAGATGTTCAATTAATTTTTGTATAGTTAATTGAAGCTTTGTTATCTGGTTGGTGAAATTTTTCAAGTTTTTGCGCAACTCGTTCCCTTGAAGCGAAAATGGGTGTGATGTTCTTTCTACTTCCAGTCCTTCATTGCTTCTCCAAGTGTTGGACTACACTGGTGCATCTACATTACTTTCTCTTGATGATTTAATTTGTCTGAATCGATTTAGATTGTTTCACATGCATGATGTGATTATTCTTTGTGAGAATGGTGGATGTGTCGAACATTGATGATCTCTACAGACCTGTAATGATTTGTGAGGATGATCGCACCACTTTATGAACATCTAAGGGACTGAGTTCTTCACACTCGATATTTTTTATGGAGTTTTGTTAATTGCAAATTAATGTTTCTTATCATGGCTGGCTTTGAATCTGTTGTTTTCACAGTTTGCGCTTTGTTGTTTATTGCAAAACTGCACTGAGCAAAGCTAGATGATGTTCCCCCTGTTAGGATCGAAACTGGTTCACAACACCAAATTTATAATAGCAACTTGAACCGGAAATATTGAGAATAAATTCTAGTGTAAGATTTAAAATAAATCATACACAGAGCAAAGAAAATTGAAGAAGAATTTTTTCTGTATTGGCAAAAGGATAAAACAATAGGAATTACAAATATAACTCTCTATTTTTCTCTACAGAATTTTGCTATACTCTCTGTATATTTCGTATGAGATGAGAAAGAATGGGATGGGATAATCTGATGGAGGATGCTGCCTATTTATAACACCAGGAAGATCTAGAGAATTCTTAAGCATTTAATATAATATTAAATGCCTAGAACTTGTCATACAAGAAAACTTCTCCTGCAAATTTCCCCAAAGCAAATCTAGCCCCTTAGGAAACCTCCTCCCAAGTCCCTTAGGCAAATCTCCACCCAAGTCCCTTAGGCAAACCTCCACCCAAGTCCCTTAGGCAAATATCCACCCAAGTCCCTTAGGCAAACCTCCACCCAATTCCTTTGGGAAATCTCCTCCCAAAATTATCCCAAGCAAAACCTCTGCCCATTCCACATTATGAATTTAATATTTACAAATCTCCCACTTAAATTCATAATGTGGGTCTTCATCCTTTTTGCCAATCCCCTGCTGCTTGCATTCCTGTTAGGCCAATTGAGGATCTACACCATACGAATTTATCGTTGGTAACAGGCGTTGTTAACATATCTGCTAGGTTATCTTTAGTATGGATTTTCTGTATATCCACACTTCCCTCTTCCACCTTTTCACGAACAAAGTGATACTGAACTCGTATGTGTTTCGTCTTGGAATGAAATGCTGGATTCTTTGTCAGGTACAAAGCGCTCTGACTGTCACAAAATAGAGTCATTTTCTCTAATTTGTGCCCGAGCTCCTCCAATAACATTTGCAACCATATTGCCTCTTTACTAGCTTGAGTAGCCGCAATATATTCTGCTTCCGTCGTTGAAGTTGCAACAACCGACTGCAACTTCGAGACCCAGCTTACTGCTCCGCCAGCAAGAGTAAACACATAACCCGTGGTGGATTTACTACAATCAAGATTACCTGCATAATCTGAATCAACATAGCCTTCAATGACAAAGTCTGATCCTCCATAACACAATGCAATATCTGAGGTACCCTTGACATATCTAAGGATCCTCTTCACAGCACTCCAATGCTCTCTACCAGGATTCGCCATGTATCGACTGACCGCTCCCACTGCCTGTGCAATGTCTGGCCTAGTGCAGATCATAACAAACATTAAACTCCCCACTGCTGATGCATACGGTACTCGAGACATCTCCATCCTCTCTGCTTCGTTGCTAGGACTCATACTTGAGGATAACTTGAAATTAATAGAATGAGGGGTAGAAATTGGCTTACAATCTTGCATGTTGAAGCGCCGCAAGATTTTCTTCAGATAATTCTGCTGAGAAAGCCAAATCTTCCTATTATTTCTGTCTCGGTGAATTTGCATCCCTAGAATCTTGTTTGCTGGTCCCAAGTCCTTCATTTCAAATTCCCTAGCCAGTTGAGCCTTCATCTCCGTGATACGATCATTGTTGGGGCCTACTACCAACATGTCGTCAACATACAACAGCAAGATGATAAACTGATTATCATCAAATCTCTTGCAATACGCGCAAGGATCGGAATTAAACCTGTTGTATACAAGGCTCAGAATGAATGAATCAAATCTCTTATACCAACATCTCGGCGCCTGTTTGAGACCGTATAGAGATTTGGTCAACCTGCAAACCAAGTTCCCTTTTCTCTCTTCAAAACCTCCCGGTTGGAGCATACAAATTTCTTCTTCAAGTTCTCCATGTAGTGATGCAGTTTTCACATCCAACTGCTCAAGATACAAGTCATACACAGCACACTCAGGGGAAACTAGAATTTCTTCTTCCTTCCTTCCCTCAACTTGTACTGTAATTGTCATTGGTTTCTCCTTCCCAGTGCTTTCCCTTTCTTATACCCTGTCTTCTACAAATAGAACATCCCTGCTGATGATAACCTTGTGGGTAGTGGGATCCCACAGGCGATATCCCTTCACTCCATCAGCATACCCCAAGAAAACACATCTTCTTGATTTTGGATCAAGTTTTGATGTTTCTTGGGCGTTGTATATCACATATGCCGGACTCCCAAATGTATGTAAGTGAGAATAACTAGATGGCTTACCCGTCCACATCTCCATTGGCGTTTTCAGATCAATTGCGGTTGATGGTGACCGATTGATCACATAACAGGCGGTCTTGACTACTTCAGCCCAAAATGAATTTGCCAAATTTTCAGTCCTCAACATTGCTCTTGTTCTTTCCAACAAGGTTCTGTTCATCCGCTCTGCCACTCCATTTTGTTGTGGAGTATACGCCACCGTGAACTGTCGTTTGATACCTTCTTGCAAACAGAATTTACCAAATTCATCACTAGTATATTCTCCTCCATTGTCCGACCTCAAACACTTGATCCGTTTCTCGGATTCAAGTTCCACACACGCTTTGAAGAATTTGAAAACTTCAAATACATCCGCCTTCTGTTTGATTGGATACACCCAACATCTCCTCGAGTAGTCGTCGATGAAGGATACAAAATATTTTGCACCTCCCAGGGATATAACTGGTGCTTGCCAAACATCAGAGTGGATCAGCTCCAAGATAGCCTTGCTCCTTGCTTTAGAGCTCTCGAACTTCAATCTATGCTGCTTACTTGTAACACAATGCTCACAAAAGGGTAATGATACCTTTGTTAGCCCCGGAAGAAGATGTTGATCAGCAAGAATCTTTAGACCTCGTTCCGACATGTGGCCAAGTTTCTGATGCCACATCATCGTTGATTCCTCTATAAGATTGTCTGCTGCAACGGCTGCTTCTCCTTGTAGTTGTGTTTCTCCTTTAAGCATGTATAGATTGGCTGCTATCTTCTCAGCTTTCATCACAACAAGCGCGCCCTTGATTACTTTGATGATCCCATCCTGAATGTGAATTTTACATTCACGGCTATCTAATTGTCCTAGAGACAATAGATTTTTCTTCAGGCCCTTCACATGTCGTACCTCTTGGATAGTGCGAACCGTACCATCAAACATTTTTAGTTTAATAGTACCTAAGCCAGCAATCTCTAAGGCATGGTCGTCTCCCATGAACACAGATCCTCCAGAGACAGGTTCATATTCATGAAACCATTCTTTCCGTGAGGTCATATGCCATGTTGCTCCCGAGTCCATTAGCCAAACATCAGCTAGACTTTTCCTGCCTTCAACAATTGTTGCTGCTTCACCAAATAAAACTTCGCATTCATCCGATGTACTCACAACACATCCCTGAGCATTTGATGTCTCGGGATTTTTGCCTTTGGTCTCATCCTTCTTGAGTTGCCAACACTCATTCTTGTAGTGCCACTTTTTGCCACAGTGAAAACACTTGACATTCTTCTTGCCCCTTGACTTTGATCTACCTCGGTTGTGACTCCCACTAGAGCCAGACTCCATTGATCTTCCTCTCATCACTGTCAACGCTTGAGATTGTTGTGAAATTCCAACTTTGTCTTCTTTGTTTTTGCGTCGACTTTCCTCTTCAAGAACCGCAGCTGCAATACCATCGAAGACAAGTACCTCCTTGTTGTTGACCAAATTGATAATGAGTTGATCATATGAATCCGGTAGACTTTGGAGCAAGATTTCAGCACATTCAGTCACTTCTATTTTATAACTCAAAGCCGAGAGTTGTGAAAATAGAGTGTTGAGAGTGTTGATGTGCTCAGTTACTGAGGATGTCTCCATCATCCGAAGAGTGTATAATTTTCTCTTCAAGAAGATCTTGTTGTGCAGTGATTTGGCCTCATACAAATTTACGAGAGTATCCCATACCTCTTTTGCCGTACCTTTTTCCACCACACTTGACAAAACTTCATCAGCAAGTGCTAAGTGCAGATTGGCAATAGCGTTGCTATCCATTTCTGTCCACTTCGCATCGTTAGTGAAATCGGCCGGTCTTTCTTCAATTGCTGCTACGCAGTTATCTATCCTGAGAACTGCTTTCATTCTCATTTTCCACAAAGAGAAATTGTTCCCTTTGAACTTTTCAATCTCGTACTTGGCCACCATTGTAAGTGGTGTTCTTGATTCAAATCCTTAACAATATATCTAAATAGTATTGTATAATAGAATAATACCGGCCTTGAGAATTTACCAGTATTTATTCTAACATAAACAATACAAAAAGATATATCTATGAACCAACCTGAGGCTCTGATACCACTTGTTAGGATCGAAACTGGTTCACAACACCAAATTTATAATAGCAACTTGAACCGGAAATATTGAGAATAAATTCTAGTGTAAGATTTAAAATAAATCATACACAGAGCAAAGAAAATTGAAGAAGAATTTTTTCTGTATTGGCAAAAGGATAAAACAATAGGAATTACAAATATAACTCTCTATTTTTCTCTACAGAATTTTGCTATACTCTCTGTATATTTCGTATGAGATGAGAAAGAATGGGATGGGATAATCTGATGAAGGATGCTGCCTATTTATAACACCAGGAAGGTCTAGAGAATTCTTAAGCATTTAATATAATATTAAATGCCTAGAACTTGTATGCAAGAAAAACTTCTCCTGCAAATTTCCCCAAAGCAAATCTAGCCCCTTAGGAAACCTCCTCCCAAGTCCCTTAGGCAAATCTCCACCCAAGTCCCTTAGGCAAACCTCCACCGAAGTCCCTTAGGCAAATCTCCATCCAAGTCCCTTAAGCAAACCTCCACCCAATTCCTTTGGGAAATCTCCTCCCAAAATTATCCCAAGCAAAACCTCTGTCCATTCCACATTATGAATTTAATATTTACACCCCCTCGCTATCCAGTGCCTTTATTGAGCTTTTGGACGTCGTGGAACCACTTTATTTTGATGTTTGTTTATAGTTATGTGGTTTGTATTTGGAGTTTATCTTGTGTAATTGTTAAGTTCTTTTCATACAGAAGTAGATCTATATGTTGGGATTATATAGTTGGGTTATGCTGTTATGCATTGAAATATTATACTCATGAATCAAAATGCAAGTCTCTTTTGCAAATTGAAATATTGAACCTCTTCAAAAAATCAAGCCTAAATATCCATTCATAAAACCATTTCTTCGTTTCATGAATATGAAATAATTTATTATTTTCTATTTCTTAATTTCTTAATTATCCTTTTTATAAAGGATTAATAAAAAAAATGTAAAAAAGTGAACTTGATTCATGTCTTGAATAGAGATTTTATTTCATAATAAATAATACTCGTGAAAATGCAAACTCAGAACAGAGAACATACACAGTACAAACTACAAAGAAAGAAAGACATAAGGTACATGGAAAAACTAAAAAAATAGAAAAACAACAGAATAATTAAATATAAAAGAACAGATGAACAAAACAGAGAGGATAAAAAAACATCTCCCATCGGATGAGACCTCCAAACCTCTAGACCTTTTTCACTCCGATCCAGATTTTTTGTAGGAGACAACCCACTCGGCCTCACTGTACTATAGACAAATGAATCCTAATTACCCCAGTTTAATTCTAAGCTTATAAGATCCATTGCAAAGAAATACTAAAAGTGGACTACCGCCTATAAATTTAGAACAAAAATATAGAATCGACTCATGTAAAGTAATATTGACAAATTATACGAGTACCATGCACCAAGGTCTACCTTCTATTGTGGACCATGGTTCAAAAATAACATTCAGATTCTGTAACTGCAGTTATCCATTTCTATACATGTAAACAAATTGAAGGCAAATCACATGGTAATTACATAGACAGCACGATAACTACATAAACATAAACTATTAACTGCTATGCACATAATATGTTAATTGCAGACACATAAAATGTTAACCAATATCTTATATTTGCAGTTAACATATTTTGTACATGTAATTAACAATTTATTATGTGTCTGTATTTATCATGTTAAGTGTTTATAATTACCATGTTATATGCCTTCAATCTTTTAACATGTGCAACAATTGTTAACTCCATGTACAGAATATGTTAACGGCATACACATAATTTTTGGATCATGTTCACAATGCAATATGAACCTTGGTCCATGGTATAAGAATTGAACAATAATGTAAAATATACCATGGTCTAGGTTTTTTTTGTATTGTGGATCCTGGTCCAAAATAACCTTCAAATTATATGTCTCTAGTTAACGTATTTTGTATGTGCAGTTAACGGTTTATGTGCCTATAAATAAACTACAATATACATAACATTGTAACTAATGACACATATTATGTTGTTACTATATTATGTGTCTGTAGACTGACATTAACATTGTTTGTAGGACATATAAGCTCTTAATTAACTGCAGGCCAGGTAGAATATGCAACTGCAAAGATATAATTTTCAGACGATTATGAACCCTGGACTGTGATACAACAATTGCTCCAATGCATAGTATTTTACATACTCTCTTATCTAATCTAACAAACAAATTAACAATCAAAACACACTTATTGAGAAAGGAGGAAAAAAAAAAAAAAAAACTGAAAGTTGGTACTAAGAGGAGTAAAAGCTAGCTAGTTAATTTTCTTTCTTTTTTTTTGGGTACGGATCCGGGGTGTAAGCTCTAACTCTGATAAGAATGATGACGATATAGCTCCACCCGCCTAAGCCTACAACAATATAGGAGACAGTACGTAAAGTTGCTAAGATGGCGTACATCCCACTGCAGAATGCCATGATTGCAGCCAAGGTAGCGCCATAGATCATGCACCCACTAAGACCATAAAGTTCCTTGACAGTGATGTAGTTTGGGGCAGATGATGAGGCTTCTGCAACCAACATATTATGGTTCCATATCGACGAAATAGAGAAAATGAAAGAAATAGCATTCGCAATAACAAATATCTTAAATGCTGTATTCTGTGCCAGTATTGGCATTCCTTGTGTTTTCCCAGAATTGCTGTCGAATCCTCCTGGGACTGCAAAACCGGCCGCAAAGGTTACCGTTAATAACAATGTAGACACGATTATGTTTGCTTTACTTGTTTCTAGCATAAGTTTAATATCCTCCTTTGCTTCTTCTGCATCTTTAATTTTCTTCTCATCATCAACTTTTGGTTTTTCTGTGAGATAACCTCGGCCTCTGCCACCAGTTTTACCACCCTTCCTAACAAGTTTCCAGCCCTGTGGCGAAGTAATTCATAGAATATAATATGCTTTAATTAGTTTATTTTACTTTCATATACGCTGTATTACGATTATGGGTACTGAACTTTGGCTCTCTAATTAGGCCTACGACCATTCACCTGGTGTCGGACTTAGCCTAGTTTCAAGTTTCAGGGCAGTGTGCTTGACTTAGTACTTCAGACTTCCGTCAACAATCTCAGCCACCTGGTGGCGCTGGACTTGGCCTTTTAGACCCCGTACAACAGTCAAACACTATGATGGTAATTTGAATTAAATATGACATAAAATAATATGGTAGTAAAGTATACTTACTAAGGAATACTTAGAAAATGCCCACTTTCTGTTTTCCAAGGCAGTCTTGGCAAATAGAGTTTGGTGTTGTTGTTTATTAAAGACCAACTGCTTCCACATAAGACACTGCATAGCAAAACGTTTCAAAGGGTTGCAACTAGAAACGGAAAGCAAGTCAAACGGTGTGTTCCCATCCTCATCTTTCCCTTCAATAAGGCTGTTGGCTTGGGGATGCTTCAGAACATATTTTACCACATTCAATTTATGTTCTAGTACGGTTTTGTGAAGGACATTTTGGCATTTGCTATTAACCATCATCCAACTATCTGGGCAGCTATTTGATATGTATTCCATCCTGGTAACGTCTCCATGCATTGCTGCTAAATGAAATGCTGTCGTCCATTCATCACCTTTGCCTACCGAAATGTAAGCTGCAGACTTATTTTGAGCGAGAATCATACGGACAGTTCTTGAATTGAGTTTTTTTATGCCGTAGTGCAGTGCCGTCCAACCTGAATCATCAGTCATCTCGCACAGAGAAATCTCCCTCTTCAATAGTAATTCTGCGCATTCTGAAATATACAACAAGTAATATAATATAATATATATAATATATACAAATTTGTGTATGCATGAGGTGTGGCAAACAAAAATCAAGAATAATGTTAGGTTCTGTATATCATAGACCGTGGTCCACCTTATAAAATTACAACTAAAATAATGGTCTATCTTGTATTGTGGACCCTACTTCAAAAATAACTTTCATATTTTGTACCTGCAGTTAATTGTTTCTATATATGTAAACAAATTAATTTCAATTACACACATGATAACTACAGACATATAAATTGTTAACTGCGGGTACATAAATATGTTAACTACAGACACATAACATGTTAACCAACATCTGATGTGTTTGCAGTTAACATATTTTCTACTTGAAGTTAACAATTTATGTGTTTGTACTTATCATATTATGTGATTGTCATTACCATATTATGTGTCTTCCATTTGTTTCAATGTTACAAAAATCGCGCCTAGGCACCGATTAATTGGCGCCTAGGCGCTGGGCGTCCGGCCTCCTAGGCGGCCTAGGCGGTCTAGACGCCCTAGACGGTCCTCAGGCGCCTAACGATTTTTTCAACATTGATTTGTTTTAAGGTGCAAAAATTGTTAACTGTAGGTACATAATATATTAATTGTATACACATGATTTTTGGACCAGGTTCACAATGTAATATGAACATTAGTCCATGATATAACAATTGAGTAATACTAGTGTAGATAATACCTAGCCTGTAGGGAAAATACTACTCCAACTGTCAACTTTACTCACTCTCACAAAATTGTGACGTTGCCATTTTCATTGGAACCCACATGATGAAAATAACTAATCATCAATTGTTACATTATAGAGTAAAAAGTTAGTGAGTAACATATGGAGTACATGTAATAGAAATTTACCTGTAGATCCAAATAATACTGATGCATGAAGTGCATTTTGACCCAACGCCCCTCATAAGTAGGATGTTTACATATTTGGAGGAGTTTCTCCAATTCTCCAGACAGTCAGGCAATTGTGATTTTGCTGCTATGTAAATGGGTGTCTCCCCAGCATTATTGACAGGATATTTAAATTCAGTATCCTTTTCAGCCAATAATTTGACCACGTCCAAATGCCCCATTCGCACGGCCTTGTGTAAGGCCGTGTCCGTGACATTATCTGTCATTTGTATCATCCTCCTCGCCGCTGCTCCAGTCCCAGATTCCACATCGTTGGACTTCTGGATGAGCATAGAGACTATGTCGACATAGCCATTCTCCGCAGCACAATGTAATGCAGTTTGATTTTTCTTATTCTGGGCAAATAACAAAGACGAGGAGGTTGTGTGGTCTTTCCCTTCTAGTACCTTTTCCACAAGATGTTGTCGGCCGTGGAGCGCTGCAACATGAAGCACAGTATTCCCATTTGGCATCACCTGAATGCCATCGTCTTTCATAGCTGTCGTGGTCTGCTGTAGAACCTTATAATAATCTTGAGGTTTACCCTCCAATGCTGCATTGTATAAAGCCAGCCTCATCCCATCCATTCTCATAGCGGTTTCCATTTCACCACTGTAGCAAGTTAACAGGTGATGTTGACAGAGTGTATAGAAATTCATAGAGGAGAGAGGAAAGCTTGGAATTTTTAAGATTGTTGTTACAATGGAAGTTTTGATTCAGTTTATATTAAGTATTTAGAGGGTAGTATAGAGTGGGTGGCGTCTCTTTTTTTTTTTTTTTTTTTTTTTTTGTAAATTATATTTTTAATATTAATGTTTTGATTGTTGAGTAATTAAATAATTAGCAAAATTTGTTTTAGTGACATTAAGATATGATGTTGGTCCATTTGGTTAGTCCCCAACCACTTAGTGTGCTGACCGTTGGGACGAAGGATTAGTCTTGTGGCGGAAGGGATACCTTTAAGCAACCCAAAAAAAAAAAGATAGATGCTGGTCAATGTTGGAAGTGACTGTTTAAATAATGATTTTCACCCGCTATTCACATGTCAACAATTTATTAATATGTGAATTATTCCCTAAAATAATACAATTGGTTGTTGAGACAATGTGGTCATTAATATAACAAAATAATTATCCGTTAAAATACTACAACTTGTAGTATACGAATAGTTTAAGAAGTGATCTATCAATTATTCATGGGTCCATTTTCACACTGATCTATCAATTATTAAATAATGATTTCCATGGTTGTTAGGATCAAAATTCTTTAAGTAAACCATTGCTTGTTAGATTTTTAGAAAATAATTGTTTGTCTTGTACAAGCAAAAGTGAGTAGGGTGTCGGAATAAATTTTTAAAGCATGATTTAGAATTTTATTGTGTGTAGATGTGTAATTCAAATTAGAATTTTGACTCCAATTTTTTTTTTTTTTTTTGGAAAATATAAAATAAAAAGCATCTTCAAAATAACAAAGAATCCATAAGCTAAGAACATCACCATCAGAAGTTTTTTTTTAGAGTTTTTTTTGGGTCAACTTTGAGGTGGAGGAAAAAGAAGAAAGGAGCTGAGAGAGTAATGTGGGGAGTTCCTGCAATGCAAAATGATGAATCTTTAAATAATGATTTTCACCGGTTATCCACATCTCAACAATTTCATTAATATGAGAATTATTTTCTAAAATCCTACAATTGGTTGTTGATGTTACATATAATTATACCCGTTAGCCTATCAACTCCTAACCCGTGAACTTGCAGTGATATACTCAAAGTTGTAGATCAGAATACACATAAAAATAAGTACAAAGAGAGTGGAGAGACAAGGAAGCTCTTTCTTATTCATGTCTTACATAGCATACAACCACAATACATATATATAATATACAAATGTAACGGAAGACATAATGTAGTCATTAATCACTATTCGTTACATAATCAATACAAATAATGACCACAATAAATATTTATAACACTCCCCCGTGGACATTATTTGACCATGATCTTGCCTCATTAGAAAAAGAAACTTGCAAACTTGTTAGGAAAACCCTATGGAAAAAAACCTAAACAAGTACAAGGTATATGGATAGAATATTTGAATATATTAATGCCTCATTAAAAACTTTACTAGGAAAACTACGTGGGAAAAACCTAGTTGAAGAAAAGAGTACATAATATTTGTAAAAATCATATATTGTATTGGTTGCCTCATTAAAAACCTTAACTTAAGAAAATCCTGTGGGAAAAACTTAGTTAAGGGAAAAAGAGTATAACCATAAGCCTTCAAGGCATAATCTTCAGGATTTCGGGGTTCGTTTGTAACACCCCCGAATTTCTATGGTATTTAAAGCCTTAAACATGCAGATATCTAAACCCAAACATCAAACACAGCGGAAGACTAAAAGAGAAATATATAAACTGGAAGTAAAGGGGTGCTATGCCACGCTCACCCAGGGGTGAACGCACAGGCTAACATCTACATTGTTCAATATCTAAAAACAACATCACAAAGTACTAAGTCTAAATTGGCTCACAGGCCACAAAACATAAGGGAGGAGCTACACTAGCTGGCACTAAACCGCGCACTCGTCTAAACATCCTTGAAAGAAACACATAAAACATGGGACGACGCCCGGTCAGCGAATAATGCTGGTAACCCACCAATACATGTGAAATATCATACATAGATAAGATATACGTTTGTAAAGCCATTTTCGAAACGGAATACATATATATAAGTTCAAAACCAAGAGAAGTAGTCAACACAAGACTCAAACACTCTAAACAAGAACACTGGAACACATCCCAAGACTACAAGGAAGAACAACGACTCACAAGAAGTGTAACACCCCGAAATTTTGAAACTTTTAAAACTTATATAATAAAGGTAAATTCTCAGTAAATCCCAAAATAAAGTATTATTAAACATAAGGGTGCGGGGTGCTATGCCACATCTGAGCTGAAGAACTCAGATGCACAGGCTAAACTAACTAATTATCCTCGATACATCATTGAGGCACGCAGGCCAAAAAGGAAAACTATCTATCTACTCCAAGCTCTTCTAGCGCGCTCTGGGAACTAATCAGTTGTGCCTGAAAGCCAAATATATCTGTTCAGCGAATGATGTCGGTAACCCACTCCAACGCGTTGAAATACATTATAGATAGATATATATAGATATACGAAAATCATTTTGAAGCAGGAAGATATATACTTAAGAGACACTAGTTTTAAAACCGGGAATAGACTCAGCAAGTAGGGACAAGCACATCAAACAATGATAAACAGTTAAGTAGAGATAACATCATAAGGAATACGCATCTAAGGTCACAGAACACTTTTCAATTCAAACACATCATCATTCAATCATCATTCATATCACATAATCGTTGATGGCGCCACGGGACCAATCGCATGCCCCGAACATGAGGGTTAATGCTTATAGCACTAACACGGCCCCCGCAGCACCCTACCTCAGTACCGTGGTACGAGGGGAGTTGATCGCAACCAACCCTTTGTGATCAGCACGTAGAAGGTCCAAAAGGTCTTCCGGCTTTATGAGACACTTTGCAGCCTCCAGGTCACCTCCGACCATGGCCAGCTTGGCCATGGCTGCCACAAGTGATTCCCGCCCGGCCGTTGTTGGACCTTGGCCAGCTTGCTTGTCTGTGGCCGTGTGGGTGGTCTTCAGAGGTGGCGCGGTCGTCGGCTGCCCGATTTTTTGTGTCGGGGTCTCAGCAGCAGATCCTCCAGCTTCAGCGCCAACCGAAGGCGCTAACTCCCCACCCTCGCCGGCTATCATCTCGGCAGAAACCTGGGGCAGAGGGATAGCGTTCGATGAAATAGGCACCGCATCAGCGCCAACCTTCGCTTCAGCGATCTAGACGGGCTGGGATATCGCATGTGCCGCCGAATGATGCGGACCGGGCTTCCTAGACACCCCCCATCATCACACGCTCCTGGCATGGCGGCCCTAGCCGTCCCAACACGTATCGTGGCTGGGCGATCACGTTTTTTTTTTTTTATCAATTTTTATAAACGCGGAGCGTGGAAGCGAATCTCCAGCCTGAAGACACTTGACTGCCGTTGGGGAGAGGCCATACCCCTCTTGTCGCAGCGCTGCCGAGAGCTGTCGAGCCTGATTGACGACAGCGTCCGGCAGCCTGCCGCTCATGAGGCAAGCCGCGTGGGAGGAACGACGGGCGCACCTATCTTCTGCGTATCAATTCACGGCAGCGCTCCTAGGGAGACTAGAATTCTAATCAGAAACGCCCTAGAACACCAGTGATTGCAGGGAAAAGGACACGTTTTTTTTTTCGGTATCGCTCAAAAAACCAAGCGCTAAAGAGAAATTTCGCTAGAGAGAAATTAAGCTTTAAAAATGTTTTAAAAATCAGGGGTTTTACACTCATCGTAATTATCTCCCTTCAAAACAACTTGGGTTAGAAGCATATCCGGGTTATCACTAGGAGAGAGATCATATGGAGAGATACGACGACATCGTGGCACCGTGACATCGTCGTCTTCGTGGTGAGCGTCCTTCTTGCCGGCGTCGGTGACCTCCTTGTCTGTCATGGCGGCAGCGGCACAAGATAGGCAGATTGCGAGGGTGGAGGATGGCAGTTAGAATAGTAGAAGTAGCGGTGGCATATGTCGAACAAAGGGGCTAGAATCAAGGATCAGGGCTCTGATACCATGTTAGGAAAATATGAACTGTGTATCTTTCTAACTGTGTATCTTTCTCTCTCCTTTCATTACAGAGGATATACTCCTATGTATACAAACTATAAGATAAAGAAAGGAAACAAAATCAATGAGAATACTAATGAGCCAAGAATACAAGACTAAATGAAGGTAAAAAATATATTTGCTAAAATAAATACATTACATTCCTTAATAACACAGGAACTCCTCACATTTCTCTATCCTCTTCTCTTTTTCCTTCACCTCAACCTTGAGCCCACAAAAAAAAAAAAAATAAAAAAAATTATGATGATGATACTCTTACCTATTATTGATACTTTGTTATTTTGATTCATATTTTACAACCAAAAAAAAATAATAATAATAATAATTGGAGTCACAAAATTCTAATCTGAAGCACACATCTACACGCAATAAAATTCTAAATCATGCTTTGATAATTTATTCTTAAGACCCTACTCTCTTTTGCTTGTTCAAGACAAACAATTATTTTCTAAAAATCTAACAACCATGGAAATCATTATTTAATAATTGATATATCAGTGTGAAAATGGACCAATGAAAAATCTAGTAGCTTAGGCACTTGTTAAACTATGTACTTCGTCTACTACAAGTTCTCTAGTATTTTAACGGATAATTATTGTCTCAACAACCAATTGTAGTATTTTAGGGAATAATTCCATATTAATGAATTGTTGACATGTGAATAGCTAGTGAAAATTATTATTTAAAGACTCACTTCCAACATTGACCAACATCATATCTTAATGTTACTTAAACTAGTTTTACTAACTTAGTTTAATTATTTTCTCATATTAATGAGCACATTGTCTCAACAACCAATTGTAGTATTTTAGAGAATAATTCCCATATTAATGAATTGTTGACATGTGAATAGCTGGTGAAAATCATTATTTAAAGACTCACTTCCAACATTGACCAACTTCACATCTTAATGTCACTTAAACAAATTTTAACCTGTATGGGCAGCTCAGTTGGTCATAGTGGTAAAGTTTGGGAACAATGATCCGGGATCGAGTCTCATCAGTGGCAGTGTGGGAGCACACAGTAAGCAAAGGTCTAGCCTCTGTGTTCAGATGTGTTGTTAGATCTTACACAAATAATATTACCCTTATTATTGCCCGCACGAGTTAAATTAACTCAAAGGTTTAGTAGATAGTATTTGGGAGAAGAGACCAGGGTTTGAACCTTGGTGGTGGTAGTGTGGGGGACATTTTGCCATTGCCAGGACCTTTTGGAAGAACGATTACGCCTATTATTTTCTTAAAATCTTACACTGTTTTAATTACTTGAGTGTTTTGATCCCTACAATCATAGAAATCATTATTTAGTAACTGATAGATCACTGTGGACATTATATTCACCCATGAAAAATCTAATACTCACTTGGTAAGCTTAGGGCCAATCCTATCATTTTATACAATCGTTATACCCTGCACTACGGCGCGCGGAGCACTGTGCGTTCCGCGCCTTCCAAAACGACATCGTTTTGGTAAGTTATGTAGGGAGTTGACGTGATTATGTGTATTTGTTTATACAATTATGTGTATTATAGAATTATGTACATTTTTTATACAATTATGTACATTTTTTTATACAATTATGTACATCTTTTTTATGCTCGCATGGGTAGCTCAACTGGTCATAGAGGTGAAACTTTGGAAGAATGACCAGGGATCGAGTCTCACCAGCGGCAGTGAGGGGGCTCCTTGTGCGCAGTGAGCACCGGTCCCGTTTTGTCGGGCCGGGGTGTGGGGGGCCCTTAGGGTTGGGGTTCAACCTTTTGGAAGAATGTACATCTTTTTTATACAATTATGTACATCCGAAATGTGTATTATGTTAAGAGTTGATGTTTATTATGTTAAAAGTTTATGTATTATGTTAGATTATATGTATTATCTTTTTTTAAAAAAAGTATGTGTATTTTGTTATACAATTATGTACACTCATGTATACAATTATGTGTATTCCTGTATAAAATTATGTACATTTTTTAACATGAGATTTTTTTAAAAAGAAAATTAACCGCCCACACAGAGTAGCGAAATTAAAAAAAAAAAAAAAAAAAACTGAAACGACGTCGTTTTACATCAGGGCGCACAATGCAATGCGCGCCCTGGTGCAGGATATAAATTGCCCATTTTATAGGCTCGGGGCGTAGCATCAAACATGGGCCCTACATGAAATTAATATATATTTGCATAACTACATGAAAAATATGTTAATTACAAATAACTTGAAATAAGATATACAAGTTTTTAACAATTTACATACACAGTAATAATAATGAAAACAACTCTAGATGTTTTCGTTAGCTATAAATGAATTTGTCTTTGTTGGCTTAAATAAATTGCAAAATATTCAATAATTGCATATGTGACTTCATAAATAAAGAATTATAGTTTATAAAAGCGGATAAACAATTTAAAACCAAATAAATTTATAAACAATCACATTGTTATTATAATAAATAATAAAGCAATTATTTTCAAAAAAAAAAATAATAAAGCAATTATTAATAAAAATTATAAAATACAACTTACAAATAAGAGCAGAGCATGGAATCTTAATTATTGAAGCAATAAATCAAAACACTTTAAAACGTGAGAATTGATATTCATAAGAAAATATGAAACATGATTAATGAGATAAAATAGTTCGAATAGAAAACACATTATAAATCACCCATATTTTCTATTGATATCATATTTATAAATAATATTTCTTTTAGTTAGATCAATTTCAAATCTTTTTTAGATTAATTTGAATAGAATGACGCATAATAGAACTTCTAAACTTCATTGATTAGATAATTTAAAATAAAAAATATTATCCTTTAAAATAATTTCATAATTAGATCACAAAATATATTATATATACATAAAACATTATAAAGTTCACAAATTAAGACATGTTCTAAATATTAGTAAATTATTCAATTAGAAATAGATTAAAAAATTGATATGAATTATAAATCAATCTATATTATAAATCTCACTAGAATTAATAGAAATGAAAAAAAAAATCACATAGTTACAACCCAAAAAATAGAAATAAATTATATACGAGTTATTACCATCTGAGGTCCTCCGAGTATAGTGGTTTTGCCACGTTTAGTCCTAAACTTTCAAATTGATCATTTGTGGTCCTTCGACTTTCAAATTTAACCATTCGTGGTCCAAGTTAACCACCCATGGTCCTCCAACTTTCAAAATTTAACCAACCATGATCCTTTCAAGAGGACCACAAGTGGTTAAATTTTGAAAGTTGAAGGACCATGGGTGGTTAACTTGGACCACGAATGGTTAAATTAAAAAATCGAAGGACCATAAATGGTCAATTTGAAAGTTTAGGACTAAACGTAGCAAAATCACTATACTCGGAGAACCCCATGTGGCATTAACTCAATTATATACATACTATATAAGATTCCTAAATTCATCTTCTAAAGAGTAGGGGGAAATTAAATTTCATAATTTATAATTTTAATATACTATATATAATATAATATCCCTAAATTCGTCTTGAGAGAAAAAAATTTAGAGTAAATAAATATATAAGGTCACGGGAGTTTGATCCCCCTAACCTTTACTTAGAGGTTCACAAGTCCCACCAACTAAACTAAATTAACTTTATTTAATTTGAATGTATATTGAATATACTTATACTAAAATCTATATAGTTATATATAAAAGGTAGTGAGCTAAAGTGATGGGCCCCTTTCAAGTGCCCTTGTCCAGGGCCGGGCCTGGTTAAGCTATGTGTGTACTGGACCTTTAATTGGTAGAATATTACAAGTTAAAGTATATATTCATTAATTCATATTAAGGGTGACTCTCTTGTGAAATATTTTACATATTCTTATTTGTGAGACGAGTCAGATTAAGATAAAAATGTAATACTTATGATGAAAAATGTAATATTAATCACAAATAAATTGATTGTTATTTATTAAGAAAAATGTAATAATACTTTTGAAAAAAATCTAATACTTTGAAATCAAAATGTAATATTTAGGGGTTGAAAGTTAATTATGAGAAAAAAGTGTAATGCTAATAAGGAATAAATTGATTGTTTATTACTTAAGAGAAACTATAATGCTAATTAAAAATAAATTGATTGATGAAAAAGGTAATAGTTTAAAGAGTGAATTCTATTTTTGGTCCTACTGTTATAGGGGTGATTCCAGTTTTAGTCCACCATAACAGGGCGTTTGGTTGGAGAGGGGGAATTATGTGGGAAGGGAATTGTAATTCCATGGGAGTTGAATTACTGGGAATAAAGTGGAATTTAAATTCCAGTGTTTGGTTGACAGGAATAGAATTACTGAGAATTTCAATTCCAATGTTTGGTATACATGGGAATTGAAAGGGAATAAGTAGTATAAAGTCAAAAATGTCCATTATTGTTGTTAGACATTAATTTTAAGTTAAAAAAGGAAGGGGTAATGTTGACTCATCACTATCTTTTTTTCCCAGGAATTAAAATACCAGGGGGGACATGGGATTTTAATTCCATGAAAATTGGGGAATTGCAATTCCATGGAATTGCAATTCCCTCCAACCAAACTACGGAATTTAATGGCCTTTGGAATTAGGTGGGAATTAAGTGGGAAGGGAATTTAAAATCCCTCCAACCAAACGCCCTGTAATTATTTTTGCCATATTACGCCCACTGTTATTATTATCGTTCCACTTTTAGTCCTCCGTTATATTGACTGTTTGTTGACTGTCTAATCTAGGGGTATTTTTGTCATTTGATGTTATGTTCTTCTTCTTCTGTTGACTATAATTGTATAACCAGGGAGCTCCTAAATACCAATGGTGGAAGCGCCTTCGCCATCCAGAATTAGACCCTGTTTAATGCTTGGTAGCTCAAATTACTGTTGATCCCCATCTGAATTGCCCAAAAGTAGGTAGCGGCGTTGAGAACCGTAGGAGGCAGCTTGTTCGGCGAATCTTCTTCCTCATCTTTACCAGCCTGTTGGAGATGGCGGTTCCCACCAACTTCTCTTTGGGCTTACCAAATTATCAAACAAAAGTTGAAATAATAGGGTTCAATACCAGAATGGGTGGCTAGGATCTTGAAGCTACTTGGGTAAGAAGAAGACCAACCACGCCATGGCTATGAAATCCAAGGTTGTAAGTGTGAGTTGCCATCCAAGGTTCCCTGCCAAGATTAAATTAAATTAAGCCCAGAGAGTGGAGAAGACGAAATCGAGCTTGTCGAGGCCGAAATTGTGTCGCCTCTTGTTCCTTCGTAAATTCCTTCGGCCACTTTTTCCAGCATCTGTGGAGTAGGTTTTCGTGGAGGTAGGTCGTCCGCCTCCAGAACCACCAGAATCGGTGGAGCAGGTTGTTCTTGGTTCGTGGAATTCGCAACATACTGGCAGAATTGCGTCGCAGGGGCTACACTCTTTCCCGATCGGCGATCAAGCGACCCTAGGCCATCAATTGTCTCCCACGAGTGTCAGAAGCCTTCGCCAAACCGTTTGGGGATCATCTCAACAACAGACGGAAGATCGGCGACCATCTACGATCTCTCGCGATTCGAATAGATGCTTCCTATTATGCTTGATTCACTTTCGATTTTAGGTTTTAGGTTTCATTTCCTGCTTTCCTTAGTCAGACATCATCACAGATGGAAGAAAGGGTAAAGTAGAAGACAAAGAGAGAAAGACAAAAATACCCCTTAAATTCACGGCCAATTGACAGAAATTTTAACGTGGACTAAAATTGGAACACTTGTAATAATAGTGGACGTAATATGACAAAAATAATTATAGTGGACTAAAATTGGAATGACCCCTATAACAGTAGGACCAAAAATGGAATTCACTCTAGTTTAAAATCAAAATGTAACACTAGAGGATGAAGAGTTACTCATGAGAAAAAAGTATAAAACAATAAAAAATGTAATACTTATAAAGAACACAACCCATTTTACAGATATAATTTTTTTTAATAGATAATGATCCATAAGACGGTCTCATAAAAGATTTTATCATACCAGTAATAAATTGTTGACATCTAAGCAACAACTGGTGAAAATCATTATTTAAAGAATCACTTCAAACGTTGACCAACATGCATCATATCTTAGTGTCAGTTAAAGAAGTTTTGTAAACTTATCTCGCTGGATCAGACAACGCTTGTTTTTGTTTTTGTTTTTTTTTGGGAAAAACAACTGTTGTTAAGGTTTTGAATTCAGTCGCTTCTATTCAATTTTTCTTAATTTTGGATTACTTTTGAAAAGGAAAAAAAAAAACCTTTATTATGTTGGCATTGAGTAGCATTTCATGATAATTGTTTCTTATCCCACTAAAATCACTACACAATATTCACTATTGCATGTGATTAATTTAATAAAAAATGAAAAATTCATTATAATTTTTTTATTAATTAAATTTTGATTGCTTGATGATTCAATCATATGTTTATAAAGAGTTTGTGTAATAATCAAAATACTGCACGTCAATGCAAGTAGTGAATAAACCTTAATGTAACTCATTTACATTTTTTTTTTTAAATCACTAATAAATATGTACTCCAATCCATAGATTATAAATCTCATTTACTATTCATTAGTCAAATGCCAATGCGCATAAGGAATCTGTACACCCGCTGTCGAGGTTTGAACCTTGATATCTTCTTTTAAATACTTTCTACTGAACCGAGCTAAGCATAAAATGTAGGATAGATTCTGATCTAATGCATTGTTCCCATATTAGTTAATGAATTGTTAACATCTTAATGCCAGGTAGAAATTACTATTTAATTACTCAACAACCAAGCAATGGAAACATTTTTTCAAAAAAAAAAAAAAAAGCAATGGAAACATTAATATTAAAAAAAAAAAAAAAGAAATAAGAAGAAGATGACACCAACTCTATACCTACCCTCTAAATACTTAATATAAACTGAATCAAAACTTCCATTGTAGAAACAATATAATCTTGAAAATTCCAAGCTTTCCTCTCTCCTCTCTGAATCTATGATCATCGATCATATCCACCACCGCACCCTCTGCACACTTCACGTACTTCTGCAATTAATTGCACATTTCTAGGACTAGGAGCAACACTCTTACAACATCACCTCTCTTGTAGCCGCTGGTACCTGTACACTCTAGGCACAAGAAATCTTCATCACCCCTGATCAATCAAGGTCTTCAATTAACGTTCTCAAGTGGTATTCAAATTTTAATATTGCCGCTGGAATGAGATCTTAGGTGGTCGATCGAATCAATTGAGCTAGCTAGTCACTCAGGTCAACATCACCTGGCCTGTTAACTTGCTAGAGTGGTGAAATGGAACCGGCTATGGGAATTGATCGGATGACGCTGGCTTTATACAATGCAGCAGTGGAGGGTAAACCTCAAAATTATTATAAGGCTCTACAGCAGACCGCGACAGCTGTTGAAGACGATGGCCTTCAGGTCATGCCAAATGGGAATACTGTGCTACATGTTGCAGCGCTACACGGCCGACAACATTTTGTGGAAAAGATACTAGAAGGGAAAGACCACTCAACCTCCTCGTCTTTGTTATTTGCCCAAAATAAGAAAAATCAAACTGCGTTACATTGTGCTGCGGAGAAAGGCAATGCCAATATAGTCTCTATCCTCATCCAGAAGTCCAAGGATGTAGAATCTGGTACTGGAGCAACGAGGAGGATGATACAAATGGCAGATAATGTCACGGACACGGCCTTACACAAGGCCGTGCGACTGGGACATTTGGATGTGGTCAAATTATTGGCTGAAGCGGATACTGAATTTGTGTATCCTGCCAATGATGTTGGGGAGACACCCATTTATATAGCAGCAAAATCACAATTCCGTGACTGTTTGGAGGAACTCCTCCAGATATGCAAGCATCCTACTTATGGTGGGCCGTTGGGTCAAAATGCACTTCATGCATCAACATTATTTGGATCTACAGGTACACTTCTATTACATGTACTCCCTATTTCTACTCACTCTAATATGTTATCTGCCTGCATTTAACATATTATTATATGTCTGCAGTTAACATATTACTGTGTGTCTACCGTTAACATATTATGTTTCTGCACTTAAGAATTTATGTGTATATAGTTATCATATTATGTGTCTATAATTGTCTTTAAATTTGTTTACATGTACAGAAACCATCCACCGTTTACATATTATGTTTCTGCAGTTAAGAATTTATGTGTATATAGTTATCATATTATGTGTCTATAATTGTCTTTAAATTTGTTTACATGTACAGAAACCATCCAAAAACGATTTCGTTAACTAGGTTATGGAGAATGATTTTTTGAATCAATTTAGTTATTTTAGAAAAACATATTTGCTAGGAAATTGACTATTGCAATTAATTCCATAATTCATTTAGTTCTTTAAATTGTGATTTTAGTTCTTATTGTCCATATTTGGTTAAATATGAATAAATAAATATTTGGTGAAAATTCATACTCTTTAGTCTGTTCATAGTCTTTAGATAGTTTTGTGCATACAAAATCTTGATGTTATTTTTGAACCAGGATCCACAATGCAAGCTAGGTAGACCCTGGTGCATGGTATAATTTGCCAATATTACTTTATATACATAGAACCATGGTCCACATTATATTGCAATGTACGTAAACCATTTATAAATATTTATTTTTAATATGTATATTATTTGTGTACTGAAGGTCAGTATTCAAATATTATAATATATCTTCTAAAAATGATAATGTCAGTGGTCATTTTACAAGGTAGACTATGGTGCATGATAACATTCATGGGGTATTAAAAACATTTTTCTTTTTATTTGCCACACCTCATACACAAATTTGTATTATATACTATATTACTATTATATTTCAGAATGCACAAAATTACTATTGAGGAGGGAGATTTCTCTGTGCGAGATGACTGATGATTCAGGTTGGACACCACTGCACTACGCCATAAAAAATATTAGTTCAAGAACTGCCCGTATGATTCTTGATCAAAAAAAATCTGCAGCTTACATTTACGCAGGCAAAGGTGATGAATGGACAACAGTATTTCATATAGCAGCAATGCTTGGAAGGGTTACAACAATGAAATACATATCAAATATCTGCCCAGATAGTTGGATGATGGTTAATAGCAAATGCCAAAATGTCCTTCACCAAGCAGTTTTGGAACATAGATTGAATGTGATAAAATATGTTTTGAAGCATCCCCAAGCAGACAACCTTATTGAAGAGAAAGACGAAGATGGGAACACACCGTTTGACTTGCTTTCCGTTTCTAGTTGCAACCCTTTGAAACGTGTTGCTATGCAAGGTCTTATGTGGAAGCATTTGGTCTTTAATAAACAACAACAAACTTCTTTTGCCATGACCGCCTTGGAAAACAGAAAGTGGGCATTTTCTAAGTATTTCTTAGTAAGTACACGTACTTTACTACCATATCATTTTATGTCATATTTAATTCAAATTACCATCATAGTTGGACTGTTGGACGGGGTCTAAAGGGTTAAATCCAGCACCACCAGGTAGCTGAGATTGTTGACCGAAGTCTGAAGACCAAGTCAAATACCCTGTCTTGAAAGTCAAGTCCAAGACCAAGTGTCTAAAATGAATTGTTGAGCGTAGGCCTAAAGAGCCAAAGTCCAATATCCTGCAAAGAAATGAAGTTGCTGCTGATCATAACACAGCGTATATGAAAGTAAAACTAATTAATTAAAGCATATTCTATGAATTACGTTGCCACAGGGCTGGAAACTTGTTAGGAAGGGTGGTAAAACTGGTGGCGGAGGCCGAGGTGATCTCACAGAAAAACCAAAAGATGATGATGAGAGGAAAATTAAAGATGCAAAAGAAGCAAAGGATATTACTCTCATGCTAGAAACAAGTAAAGCAAACATAATCGTGGCTACATTGTTATTAACGGTAACCTTCGCGGCCGGTTTTGCAGTCCCAGGAGGATTCGACAGCAATTCTGGGAAAACACAAGGAATGCCAATACTTGCACAGAATACAGCATTTAAGATATTTGTTGTTGCGAATGCTTTTGCTTTCATTTTCTCTATTTTGTCATTATGGCTCCATAATGCGATTGTTGCAGAAGCTCATCATCTGCCCCAAACTACTTCTTTATCAAGTAACTTTATGATCTTAGCGCGCACATGATCTTTAGCGCTACCTTTACTGCCGTCTTGGCATTCTGCAGTGGGATGTACGCCATCTTAGCAACTTTACGTATTGTCTCCTATATTGTTGTAGCCTTGGGCGGGTGGAGCTATATCCTCATCTTTCTTCTGGGAGTTAGAGGTCAACACTTCCTATCCAACAAAAAAAATAAAAAATACTAGCTAGCTTTTACTCCTCTTAGATAAGAGAGTATGTAAAATACTATGCATGGGACCCATTGTTGTATCACGATTCACGAATCAGAGTTCATAATTTTTTATATGTTTGCAATTGTATATATATTCTGCCTGCAATTAAGAGCTTAATTATGTGTCTGTAAATAAACTACGGACACATAACATATTAACTACAAACTATGTTAAAGACAAATCATGTTAACGTCAGTCTACATACACATAATATGGTAACAACATAATATGTGTATGCAGCTACGTGTTATGTGTCATTAGTTACAATGTTATGTAGTTTATTTATAGACACATAAATATTTAATTGCACATACAAAATATGTTAACTATAGACATACAATTTGAAGGTTATTTTGGACCAGGATCCAAAATGTAAAATAAACCCTTTGATATATTTCGCATTGTTGAAGCCTTCAAATAATATGTACTGCTTTTATGTTATGAGATATAAACAACTTGTATATTTCATTAATAAGGAACAAGTGTATTTACACAATTATATCACAAAAGTAGAAAATAGCTAGGCAAAGAGAAATTATAGAAACCACTACACAAGACTAGGAAACAATATTAGACTAAGTTCATAAATATAATATTATTCTCTAATATGCCCCCTCAAGATGAGGTTCCGTAGGAGACACCAATCTTGACCTTTAAGTCCAAAAAACTACCGCGTGGCAGTGGTTTGGTTAGAGCATCAACAAGTTGATCTGCAGAAGAAACATGAGTAACACATAGAGCACCTGATTGCACGTGGTCCCGAATAAAATGATAATCAATTGCCACATGTTTCATACGAGAATGAAAGACTGGATTAGAGCAAAGATATGTAGCACCAACATTGTCACAATAGATTACAGGTGGAGTAGGCAGAGAGACACCAAGTTCTGTAAGAAGAGAGCAAACCCAATTAACTTCTGAAGCAGCAGTAGCAACTGATCGATATTCTGCTTCTGTAGTCGAGCAAGCAACTGTCCGTTGCTTCTTGGATGACCAAGAGACAGGATGATGACCAATGTAAACAATATAAGCACTCGTCCAGGTGTAGTCATCTTTGTTACCCGCCCAATCTGCATCAGAGTATGCATGTAAAGAAATATGATTGTCCTTATGAAGAAATATCCCATGGTTTAAGGTACCACATAGGTATCAAAGCGATCGTTTTACAGAAGCCCAATGGTCAGTAGTTGGTCGATGCATAAACTGTGAAAGCTTGTTAACAGCATACGCAATATCTAGGCGAGTGAGGCACAAATATTGGAGACCACCTATGATAGTCCTGTATGCAGTGGCATCCGTTAGAGCAGTACCTGAAACAAGGGTTAAGTTACCATTCGTATCAACCGGTGTGGATACTGGTATGGCTGTAGACATTTTTGCTCGAGTAAGCATATCAGAAACATAACGATTTTGAGCAAGAAAAATGCTAGATGGTGTAGTGGCAACCTCAACCGTGATCTTTGAGTGAAAACTTGTGTGCCAAAATGTCAATGAATTGTTGAACACCCATAGAATTGGTTCCTGTGATAATAATATCATCCACATAAACAAGGATATAAATGACAAGGTTACTGGAGTGAAAAGTAAATAGAGAAGTGTCGACATGTGAGTTTATGAATCCTGATTCAACAAGAAATGGGCGAAGTTCAATATACCAAGCTCGGGGAGCTTGCTTGAGCCCATATATAGCCTTTCTGAGTTTGTAAACATAGGTTGGATTATTGACATCCAACTGCCGCAACTTCCAACCTCTACTGACTACTAGGCTTAAAACAAGCCTAATTGTCGTAGGCTTAACAACTGGACTAAAGGTATCATGATAATCCACACCAGGTCGTTGATGAAACCCTTTAGCAACTAACATGGTTTATATTTATCAATCGAGCCATTTGGGAGGTGTTTGATGCGAAAAAATTACTTGCAACCAACAATATTTTGCAAAGGGGTAGATGGAACAAGCTGCCATGTTCCGTTTCTAATTAAAGCTTCAAACTCATCATTCATTGCCTGTCTTCACTTGGGATCTTTTAGTGCCTGAGAATTGGTAGTGGACTCAATGTCAAGAGGTTTGGATAGGACAGCAGTGAGATTCATTTTGACAAGGGGCTTGCGAATGTTATTTTTGGATCTAGTCACCATGTGATGATCATTTTGAGGGATTTGTTTGTTTTTAGGTAATGTATGAGGAGGATTATGATTGGGTGACTCAGTGGGAGAACAAGCATTCAACAAGGAGTGAGTGCTTGATGATGACGTACGTAGGAGAGTCTTGTTGTGAGGCAGGTTGTTGTCTAAGTGATACGGATTGGGTGCCTTGTGATGTGGTCAGGCCATTTTGTGAGACAAGATGGTGTTCGGGTGATGTAGTCGATGTATCTGATGAAGTGGGCGGATTTTCAAGTAATGTGAAAGAATTACCCGGTAAGTCATTTTGTGGGGTAGTTGAGTTATTTTCCATATGATGAATTGTGCGAACAATTGGTGATGGATGTTGACACGAGGGAACCCTTTGAGGAGATGTATTGAGTGGGCCACTAGAAATGGGTAGCACTTGAACTGGAGGAAACCATTTGGAGATGGCTTCTATGCTAGGTTGATGGAGATGACTTAGTTGATTTTTAAAGGGAAAAATGCTTTCCACAAACTTAACATGACGAGAAATAAATGTTTTAGATGTAGACATATCAAAACAAATACATGCACTTTGTGAGTTTGTGTTAAAGAATATCCCAAAAAACACATGGAATATAGATCACATGTCGACCTTGTGTTTTGAGTAAGGACGTAGGCACGGATAACATAAACATCCAAACACTTAAGTTTGGAATAATTGGGTGATGATTGCAAGTGTTTTTGAAATGGAGACGAAAGATGTAATGTTGGTGTAGGCATACGGTTAATGAGATAGACTGCTGTAGAAAATGCATATGTCCAATAGGATAAACACATTGATGCATGAGTGAGAAGGGACAAACCGGTTTCAACAATATGGCGGTGTCTCCGTTCAGAGAAACCATTGTGTTCTGGTGTGTGAGGCGGCGTGGTAAGATGAGATATACCATTTGTTGAAAGAAAATTGTCAAGTGAACGGTATTCACCACCATTATCAGAATATAAAGTGACAATTTTGTGTTTAAATCGGTTTTCAACTAGTGCTTTGAAACACACAAAGACATCATGCACATGGGATTTTCTTTTAAGTGGATCAAACCAAATGTATCGTGTATAATGGTCAACAAAAATAACATAATATTTGTAACCATCAACAGAATAAACAGGAGAGGTCCAAACATAAGAAAATATTATTTCTAGAGGGTTCAATGATTGTAAGGTAGAAGCTAAGAAAGGGAGTTTATGACTTTTATTTTTGGAGCATGCATTAAAATGTACCTGAGACAATAATGAACTAGACAACGGCAAGGAAAATTTAGAAACAATATTTCTCATGATAGGTAAGGATGGATGACCTAATCTGGAGTGCTACTCAGATGAGGTAGTTTTGGTAGTGGAAAAAGCAAGTAAAGGTGAAGATGAACTAGAGGACGGTGAAGTTGGCCACTCATATACACCATCCTTAGGCTTACCCGTCAATAGAGTTGCTCCCGTGTTTAGATCCTTCACCTGAAAAGTAGAGGGAGAAAATTCAACAGAAACATCATTATTGGTACATAATTGATAAATTGAAATCAAATTCTTTTTCATGGAGGGAACACAAAGAACATTTTGTAAAGATAATAAGCGATAAAGAGTGGATATTGAAGTGGAACCAGTATGTGTTATAGAGAGGGATGATCCATCTCCTATCATGATATCATCAGATCCTGGATACGGGCTATGTAGTGAGAGATTACTCAAATCAGAAGTAACATGGTGGGATGCCCGACTGTCCAAAAGCCACGTAGGAGTTGTGTCATGGCTAAGTGTTGTATGATTTGCTCGTGGTTGCCAAGGTGTTGAAAGCCGATATCCCAGCTAACTGAGACTGCTGATTAGTAACAAGTTGATACATTGGACATTGCTTAGCAATGTGTCCTTGAGTACCACATGCTTGGCAACGACCCAAATAAGGTTTAGGTTGACGCGGGTCATGAGGAGAAAAGGTAGTGGCAGAATTTTGTTGGGAGGAATTGTTGTTGGACGGACGCCGATTTGAACGATTGGAATTATTGTTGTTCCGGAAGGCGGTTGGATTCGCTGTTGCTGGAAGTATCTGCGAACTAGACTCAACAGTTTGAAGAAACACTTCTTTATTTAAGAGTTTTTTATGAAGCTCAGCAAATGAAATTGTAGTATCACGGGCATTAATGGCATCAACTACAGATTTGTACTCAGTACCAAGTCCGTCAAGAACATGATCAATGAGGTCTTCATCATCAATGGGTTTACCTAGCAAAGCAAGTTCATCACTTCGGGTTTTAATAGCCTGCATGTATTCACTAATAGATTTTGTGCCCTTCGTTAGCTGTTTCAATTGCTCCTTTAATTGTCTTATGTGACAACGAGAGACTTTTGCAAAGGTACTAGCAAGAAGTTGCCATTCTGTGAGAGAGGTGGTGGCACGGGAAATTAGTGGTTGTAAAGGAGTGGATATAGCACCAAGAATAGCACTAAAAATGAGACGATCTTGACGTTTCCATTTTGTATAAGAAGGATTTGGTGATGTAACACAGTCAGTGGTCATGGTGGCTGTAGGGGAAATATGAGTGTCATCAACGTGGTGATGAAGATCATATCCTTCAAGAAGGGATGTGATCTGAAGACTCCAAGAGAGGTAGTTTGTGTAACTTGGTTATATTTGAGAAATTAATTATAAGAAGAGGATTTTGAGGATCTTGTGTGGTGGGAATGATAGCAGGAGGATCATCTGTAGTTGTAGTTGGAGGGGAAGATGGGTTTTCCAAAGCCATGAAGAAGATAAAAAAAAATTACCCAATAGGATCAAGCTCTTGATACCATGTTACGAGATATAAACAACTTGTATATTTCATTAATAAGGAACAAGTATATATACACAATTATATCACAAAAGTAGGAAATAGCTAGGCAAAGAGAAATTATAGAAACCACTACACAAGACTAGAAAACAATATTAGACTAAGTTCATAAATATAATATTATTCTCTAATATTTTATTTTCGATTCAATTTTATGTATCTATAACCCCATCTATAACGACCCAATTGTCTATTTATTTGCTTTCAAACATTTGTTATATATATAGTAACGAGTATCTTATCCGTGTGATGCACATAACAATTATGATATTGTAAATTAAGGGAGAAAAATTAGAATAATGAAAAATCTCTGTAAATGTAACAAAAATTATAATTAAATATTATATTACAATTTTAAAAATGTTTGATGAACATTAAATTCTATTTTTAGTCCTCGACTATTGTGGTATTGCCACATTTAGTCTTACTCTTTTAATTTTGTCATATTACATTCTCGACTTTAATTTGATTTCTTTATTGGTAGTGCAATAATGGACAACTGTGGTGATTTTTTTTCAGCAAGAAAATTCTTTGACTATCTGCAAACTCGAAATGTAGTCTCTTGGACTACATTGATGGCTGCTTACTTGCAGAGTGAGTGCTTTGAGGAAGCACTCAAAATGTTCCCACAAATGGATATGCCGGGTGTTTTGCCAAATGAATACACTTTTGCGGTGCTGCTGAATGCTTGTGCTAGTCTAGCAGCACTTGGGTATGGAAATTCATTACATGCATGTGTTGAGAAGATGGGATATAAGGATCACAGTATTGTTGGGAATGCTTTGATCAATATGTACTCAAAAGTGTGGCCTCATTGAAGCTACTCGTACATTGTTTTCAAATATGGTTTACCGAGATACAGTAACTTAGAATTTGATAATATCTGGTTTATCGCATCATGGTTCTAAGAAAGGGAAAACAAGTTGAGATAGTCCCTGACCATCCGCGAGTGGAGGAAGTCTAATAAAAAGATGAATTTTAATATGTATTTGAGACAAATTATTAAATTACATTATTAACCTTATTCGTAACGGTAGATTAACGGAAATTTTAATGGAGGATCAATAGTGGCAATCAAATTAAAGTCGAGAATGTAATATGGCAAAATTAAAAGAGTAGGACTAAATGTAGCAATGTCACAATAGTCGAGGACTAAAAATGGAATTTACTCGATCATATCCTTATACACATACAATGTTTGATGTGGAATTTATTTAGGTGATTTCTTTATCACAAATCAAAATATTCAAAACAACTCTTAAACTAGCAACATGCAATTGTTCGTGGTTGAATACTATTCTTTTCAAGAAGATAACTACGTGAAAAAGTGATTATTACTCTAGTTAATTGTCATTGTATAAAAGACGATTAGACAGAATTGTCGTCTTTAAAATTTGAAAGGCAGTTTGAAGTGTGAGGAACTCCTCCACATATGTACACATCATACTTCAATCATTATTCCATGGACCATAGTTTACACATTTGTGTGAACCATAAATAAAAAGTACATTTTTAATATATTAAAAGTACATTATTTGTATACATAAAGTACATTATTTGAAAGTACATAATTTTTATATATTATCAAATAATGTATACTCATTACATAAATAATATACTATTAGTATATTAAAAATGTATATTGCATTCATGGTCCACACAGTTATGCATGTGGATCATGGTTCACACAATAATTTGCCATTAATTATTTGGATCTACAGGTATTATTTGCACCACTTTTTCTCAGTTGTTATACCATGGATCAAGGTTCATATTATATTGTGAACCTGATCCACAAATTATGTGTATGGAGTTAACATATTCTATATATGCAGTTAACAATTGTTGCACCTGTAAACAAATTGAAGTCACATAACATGATAATTACAAACACATAACATTCCTCTCAAAAAACAAAAAAAAAACAAAAAAAAAAACACATAACATGATAACTACAAACACATAAATTGTTAACTGCATGTACAAAATATGTTAACTGCAAACACATAAGATGTTGGTTAACATGTGTCTGCAGTTAACATATTATATACATACCAGTTAACAGTTTATGTGTCTATAGTCATCATGTTATGTCTGTAATTATCATGTGATTTGCCTTCAATTTGTTTACATGTACAGAAATGGATAACCCCAATAGCCGAAGAAAAAAGATTTGTTGGTCCCGGTAGGGTCGAAAGAGAGTCTAGAGAGGGGGGGGGGGGGGGGTGAATAGACTATAATCGATTTTTCAAAGTTACTCCTTTCGAAGTGATGCACCACGAAATAAAGGTTTCGACTTAGTTATACTTTGCACACTTTTGTTGGGGGCTCTTAACGTTTGGTCGCTATGATATGCAATGCATGAAATGTAAAGAGCAGTATTTAAAGAGATATGGAGAGAGAGATTTTTATAGTGGTTCGGCTGTTAACAAAGCTTACTCCACTCTTCTTTCGCAACTCATGAAAGGGTTTGCATTATCACTCCTAGTACAAACTACTCCAAGCGGGCTTCCTTGATCACTAAGCCGGAAAACTACTTGATAGGTTTTTCAACTCCTCAAGTTTACTCCGCCTCTATCAACATCTTCCTAAGAGTTGAGTGTTGGAAAGATGATGTTGTGTATCTCCAACAGGTTGAAGCATTGTCTTGATATCTGGATGAATCTTCACGTGAAAAGATGCAAGACTTCTTTAACTTTTGTGAAGTGTGGATGATGGATGAGCCTTTTGAAAACTTCACAAGAACACTGGTTATGAAAAGGTTTAAGAGATGAAACTGTTTGAAGAGCTTTTCTTTGGATAGCAATAGTTGAATAACCAGCACCTTCTTCAATGGTGAAGAGAGGTATTTATAGGAGGAAAAACTTCATCCGTTGGAGGGAGATGAGGATTTCAAACCTATTAACTAGTGTGTATTGACCAGTGGGCATAGAGCATTTAATTCCCTTGTACTGTGTAGCCGTTGGTGTCAAAAGCATTATGGCTTTTGTCCTTATTCTCTGACAAGATGGTACAAGTTTTTAGTTGCTCCTTGTCTTTTGTGAAAATCATTCCTAGGGCACCTTTTTTCCCGAATGATTGCCCATATATGAGTCATAGACAACATTCTTATGGAAGATGATCCTTTTATAGCGGGAACCCAATGGGATTATTTTAGGAAAATTCCAAATTTCAGCAATACGCATTCTCAACGCGTCGAGCCTCTAATTTGGCACGATTTGTAGCTACTGGATATTCTCGACGCGTCGAGCTGCGGGCTCGATGCGTCGAAGCTTTGATGCTTCAACTTCTTCCTCTTTTTGATCCAGTCGTGCTTGAAAATCTCCCCCTTACTTTTACACTTAACCTGTAATTGTGAAAAAATACTACCAAACACCGTAAGACATTCAAAACAAGTGTAAAACCATGTCCTAATGAGAAAACAAGGGAAACACGTATTAAATAGGCACGAGTAAAGAACTTAGTTACTGAGATTATTCAAAATAGCTATAAAAACATGCACAAATGTAATAACATCATATTTGCTGCCAGTTTTATTGAGTAGCATGACTCTTTCATTTGCAAACTTTCGAGCATGCTCAAGATAGTACTTCTATTTTGCTAGTGAATCAGTCAGAATTTTATCCATTTCTTTCTTTTGTTCAGCCATTTCAGATGAAGAGAATGTGATCTCCACTCTGTCGGAGTGCTCTCTTATCTTGACAACTTTCCCATTGGTCAGCTTTCATGCTTCTCTCAAGTATTGCTCCCTACGAGCAGCATATCTTTCGGATGCCTCGTCTATCTTCTCTTTTCCTTTTCCTTGACTCATATCTGCAATAAAAAACACTAAGACAAACTAGAATTCAATAAGAGATTAGTGTGAGCTTCTCATATGAGGAATGAGGTCTTTTTATAGTGGAGAAAAGACGTTATTTTACGTGAAGATCTCTCCAAGATATTTTCACCACTTTTCGAGATTTTCTCCTTTTCTGTATTTATTTCTTTCAAGATTTTCTTTTAGTATCTTTCAGGAATCTTCTGCGAATATTTCAGTTCATAAGAAAAGATAGACGTTACGGATTTGATCTTCCGACTATGCCATTTCAATCATCCCAAGTTCGTCCCGTAGGGATGAGAATCTGTTCTCATTTAATGGCTTTGTGAGGATATTTGCCAATTGATCATCAGTGTTGATGTATTCAAGCAGTATATCTTTCTTTTCAACGTGAACCCGGATAAAGTGATATTTGATATCAATGTGCTTGGTACAAGAATGTAACACCGGATTTGTGTTATAGCAATAGCACTTGTGTTATCACAATTGATGCGCACCTCTCATGCTATTATCCCATAATCCTTAAGTTATTGCATCATCCACAATATTTGTGCACAACAACTTCCAACTGCTATGTATTCAGCTTCAGCAGTGCTGGTAGCAATTGAGTTTTGTTTCTTGCTAAACCATGATACGAGTCTTCCCACTAGGAACTGACAGGTTTCAGAGGTACTCTTTCGGTCGATTCTGCACCCAGCAAAGTCTGCATCGGAGTAATCAATTAGGTTGAAAGACCCTTCTCTCGGGTACCAAAGACTGACACTTTGGATTCCCTTAAGATATCTTAGGATCTTTCTTTCCGCGCTTAAGTGGCTTTCTTTCGGTTTAGCTTGAAATCGTGCACATACCCCAACCGCGAAAGAAATGTCAGGTCTACTCGCTGTAAGGTATAAGAGAGATCCAATAATCCCTCTATATTTTGTTTGATCCACATCTTTCCCTTCATTATCAATCTCCATTCTCAAGGATGTGTTCGTTGGAATTTTGACGAATGATTTTCCGTCAATTCCAAACTTTCGGATCAAATCTTTCGTATACTTCGCCCGATTAATGAAAATTCCATCTGAACATTGTTTGACTTGTAGTCCAAGGAAGTAGTTTAATTCTCCCATCATGCTCATTTTCCTTGCATGAGCTTAGAGAATTTTTCACACATGTCAGGATTTGTGCAACCAAAGATGATGTCATCTACATAGATTTAAACAAGTATGTGTTCACCATCTTTAATACGAAAGAGAGTTTTGTCAACAACTCCTTTCGTAAAGCCACAATTAATCAGGAAGTACGAAAGTGTGTCATACCAAGCTCGAGGAGCTTGTTTTAAGCTATATAATGCTTTCTTTAAGTGATAGACTTGATCACTTTCATGGTTAATCACGAATCCTGGGATTGTTCCACATAGACTTCTTCTTTAAGAATCCCATTTAGAAACGCACTTTTTACATTCCTTTGGAACACCTTAAAGTTCTTGTAGGCTGCATATGCTAGAAAGATTCGTATGGCTTCTAATCTTGCTACGGGAGCGAAAGTTTCATCAAAATCAATCCCTTCTTCTTGACAATAGCCTTTGGCAACAAGCTGAGCTTTGTTCCTAACAATTATGCCATCTTCACTCATCTTGTTTCAAAAGACCCATTTTGTTCCTATGACATTTTGATGAGTGGGTCTGGGAACAACTTCCCACACATTGTTTCTCTCAAATTGGTGAAATTCTTCTTGCATGGCTGTTACCCAATCTGGATCACTCAAGGCATCATCAATAGATTTCGGTTCCATTTGTGATAGGAAACATGTCATCATATTTTCGTGAACTGATGCACGAGTTCTTACACCTTCTTGAATATTTCCAATGACTTGATCAGGAGGATGATCTCTCAACCATCTTAAGTCAGGTTCGAAAGATGTTGATTGTGCCTGTATATTCATCTCAGGGATGTAGGGCAACTCTACATAGATCATTGGTTCGATTTGAGCTTGTGGTGTAGGTGTAGTTTCTCTGATAGTTGTTTCGTGCTGAGACCTTGTTTCCGTTTCGGAAGGCTTAGATTGATATCTTTGATGGGAAGGTAATAAATCTTCATGATCTGAATCATCTTCGCACATATGACTTGGTTCAGCTTGCATGATTAAATTCTTTATGTCGATTGATTCATGATTTTGTGGAGTCTTTTCAGCATTTTCATCAAATTTGAAGTGAATGGATTCCTCAATAACCATAGTTCTTTTGCTTAGAAATCTAAATGCTTTACTTACGGAGGAGTATCCCATGAATAACCCTTCGTCAGCTCTTTCATCGAAAGCTCTTGGATAGCTCTTCCCGTTGTTGTGAACAAAGCACATGTAGCCAAAGATGTGAAAGTAACTAACAACGGGTTTCTTACCTTTCCATAATTCATATGGAGTTAGATCATGAGCTTTGTTGATGAGAGTTCGGTTTTGGGTGTAGCATGCAATATTGATGGCTTCGGCCCATAAGCGTTTTGGCATTCCTAAGTGTGCTATCATGGTTCGTGCAGCTTCCTTCAAGGTTCTGTTTCTTCTTTCGGCTACTCCGTTTTGTTGAGGAGTGCGTGCGGGCCGAAAGTTGATGAAAAATGTCATTTTGTCCACAGAAGTCCTTGATGACCTTGTTTACGAACTCTGTCCCCTGATCTGACTTGATTATTACTATACTGAGCTCCCTTTCAATTTGTAATTGCCTTAGTAGTACTGGCAATACCTTCTCAGTTTCATTCTTCTTTCTCAGAAATAGTGTCCAAGTATATCTCGTGTAGTCATGTACTTTCGTCCACTCAGACTTGCAGGATCAACTGGACCAAACAAGTCCACGTGTAGAAGACTTAAAGGTCGAGAATTTGTGTCTGAGGATTTTGACTTGAATGAAGCTTTAATTTGTTTTCCTTTTTGACATGCATCACAAATTCTGTCTTTGACATAGGTTGCTTTCGGTAAACCTTCCACAAGATCTTTCTTTGATAGCTTGTTGATGGTCTTGAGATTCAGATGACTCATCTTGTTGTGTCATTCCAAGCTCAAATCTGCATTAGTATTGGCAACAAGACAAACGTTAGTTTTACAAAGTTCCCAAGCAACTACATACATGTTTTTCTTTCGTTTTGCCGTGAGAACAATGTCACCATATCCAATGCTGATGAATTTGCACTCGTCTTTGAAGAATTCTACTTTATAGCCTTTGTCACAGAATTGACTGGTGCTAAGAAAATTGAACTTGAGTCCTTCAACGTGTGAGACATCCCGAATGATTACTTCATTTCTAATGATGTCTCCAGTTCCTTTCGTTTTTCCACTTGATTCTCCACCAAAGATTACTTTTGGTCCATCAACTTCCTTGTAATTGCACAAATTTGATTTGTCTCCGGTCATATGTCTTGAGCTTCCACTATCGACATACCATATGACTTGTCTTCCCTGAAATCAAAAATTATGTAACATTAGGTACCCCTTCGGTTTTGGGTCCTTGAGGGTTAGTAGACAATTTTGGGATCCACATGACCCTAGAGTTGGCATAACTCATCATTGGTCCTTTGTACCCATAAAATACTCGATAAGCATAATAAATTTTAGCAAAGTTTTTGGCTTTGTATCGACTTTGAAAATAGTCACCAGGTGGATTGCGATACTACTTATAATAGTTGGTTTGTTTTTGCCTGTGAATCTTTTCAAATTCTGCTTTTGATAAAGGTTCGGGATAAACAAGCCAATCTTCTTCAGATGGTCCACTCCATCCGATGCCCGTCATTGGTCTTCTAAGTGACCTCTTGGCATGTCTGTTTCGTTCATCATTTGGATTCCTTTGTAAGGGATTCTTTCGTTAATGTGTAGAACGATTTTGCCTTTGATTTACATTCGGATTCACCCTCGTTTGGTCATTCCTTGTAGGCTGACCTTTTTGATAGTATAGACTAGGTCTATTATCTTTGCGGTCCATTCCTTTTGACATTTGTATTATGCCTAGGATTGCCTTTCAATTATTTTCCATTCGGAGGTTCCACAACTCGTTGTACAGCCTTTCCTTTTGGTTGGCTTGTTGGTTGTAGTGTACTACCATTGTGAATCTTTGTCATAGGCTCAGACATTTGGGTAGGGCCTTGAACAAATACAGACTTAAAACTTTCATGTGAGTAATTTTATGTAGGTTTGTTCAATAAGATATGTGATGAGGAGCTGGGGTCATAACCAATTCCGGTTCTTTCCCTTGACGGTTTTGATCTATTCACTAATCGATCCATTAGATTGGATGAGTTATTGAATGAATCAAGAACCTCCCGCAGATATTGCTCCCGTAACTCTCTTTTTGTACACTGCTCCTTAAGAAGGAGAACCTGCTTCTCGAGCTGTTCTTTCACGATGGCTAGCTTAATGTTATAGATTCTAACATGCCTTAGCTCATCATAGCTGATCAATAGCCGAGAGTTCTCCTCTTTTAATTTGGAGTATGTGTTTTTAATTAATTTGAAATCCATCATCATCTCAAAGATAGTTTCATTTAGATTTCCTTCATTTTCAGAGCTGGTTTCTATTTGAGTAGACAAAGAAGTTTGAGAGTTTACCTCATCATCATTTGCCATTAGACATAGACCATCTACTTTTTCTTCCTGACTGAAGAGGCATAGAAGTCCTTTCTCATCTCCCGAACTCTCACTCTCTAAACTTGAGCTTGAGGTGCTCGTTTCGGGTTGGACTTCTTCAGCTGGTTCATTCACCACCATAGCTTTCCTTCTTTTCTCATGTCGAGAATTGGTTGATTCTAGTTTTCCGCTTCTCTTGCTGGATTCAACAGCATCTTTCGGTGAGCTTGTGCTAGGATCCTGGTCCTGGTATTAGCGGACCATGGGGTGAGGACAATTTGCTTTGAAATGTTCTTGCTTTCGACAATTGTAGCATAGCACTTGTGCATCCACCGTTTCTTGTTTTGAAGACTGAGGAGATCTTTCATATTACCTTCGGTTGAAGGAGTTCGGTGATCTTTGATGATCTTGAAAGTTGTTCTTCCTTATGAACCTTTTCATCTTTCACACAAAGAAGGCAAACTGTTCATCAGATAAAAATTTAGTAGGGTTAGAGTTTGACCTGTTTGATGTTGAAGGTTGTTGACTTGCAACCAAGGCGATATTCCTTGTTTCAGATTCTTTGAGCTCATGCTCGAACTCATAGGCCTAGAGATCACTAAAGATTTTACTCGTGTTGGTAGTCTTCATGTCTCGGTGATCTCTCATGGCTGCCACCTTCATCTCCCATGACTTTGGAAGTCCTCAGAGTATCTTTAGGTTCTTTTCCTTCTCGGTTGCCTCCTTTCCTAGATCCAAAATTTCTCCCATAAGTTTCGTGAATCTGAATTCCATGTCTGCGATGGTTTCGTTTGGTAGCATTTTGAATTCCTCAAACTTCTTCATGGCAACAGTAAGCTTGTTGTCCTTTTCTTGTTCGTCTCCTTCGCCTAAACTCATGAGAGTATCCCAGATTTCCTTCGCTGTCTTACATTTCTGTACTCTCGGAAACAGTGAGTCATATAGTGATTTATATAGAATATCTCGTGCAACATTGTTGAGATTTGCTCTTATCTTTCATCTGAAGTGAGCTGAGACTTAGGCTTTGGAATCATGACTTCTGGATCTGCTCCTTGAGCAGCTGCTTGTGCATTTACCATCATTACAACGATAGGACCTTCTTCTATGACTTCCCACATTTCATCATGAATGGCCGAGAGATGGGCTTGCATCCTGACTTTCCAGTCATCAAACTTAAAGAGATTAAAGGCAAGAGGCCTAGAACGATTAGCATGATCTCTTTCCATTTCCTTTTTAAGAAAATAAGTGCAAAGACGAAAAAGCAATTTAGCTTATATAAATTTTGCAAAAGCTAAGGGATCTACCAGGTAGTAAAACAAAACGTTTACCGTACAAGGTAACCGCTTTGATACCACTTGTTGGTCCCGGTAGGGTCGAAAGAGAGTCTAGAGGGGGGGGGGGGGGGGAGGTGAATAGACTCTAATCAATTTTTCAAAGTTACTCATTTTGGAGTGATGCACAGCGGAATAAAGGTTTCGACATAGTTATACTTTGCACACTTTTGTTGGGAGCTCTTAACGTTTGGTCGATATGATATGCAATGCAAGAAAGGTAAAGAGCAGTATTTAAAAAGATATGGAGAGAGAGATTTTTATAGTGGTTCGGCTGTTAACAAAGCCTACTCCACTCATCTTTCACAACTAGTGAAAGGGTTTGCACTATCACTCCTAGTACAAACTAGTTCAAGCTGACTTCCTTGATCACTAAGCCGGACAGCCACTTGATAGGTTTTTCAACTCCTCGAGTTTACTTCGCCTCTATCAACTTCTTCCTAACAGTTGAGTGTTGGAAAGATGATGTTGTGTTTCTCCAACAGGTTGAAGCCTTGTCTTGATATCTGGATGAATCTTCACGTGAAAAGATGCAAGATTTCTTTAACTTTTGTGAAGTGTGGATGATGGATGAGCCTTTTGAAAACTTCACAAGAACACTCGTTATGAAAAGGTTTAAGAGATGAAACTGTTTGAAGAGCTTTTCTTTGGATAGCAATAGTTGAATAACCAGCACCTTCTTCAATGGTGAAGAGAGGTATGTATAGTTGGAAAAAATTCATCCGTTAGAGGGAGATGAGGATTTCTAACCTATTAACTAGTGTGTATTGACCAGTGGGCATAGAGCATTTAATGCACTTGATCTGTGTAGCCGTTGGTGTCAAAAGCATTATGGTTTTTGTCCTTGTTTTCTGACAAGATGGTATAAGTCTTTTAATGCTCCTTGTCTTTTGTGAAAATCATTCCTAGGTCACCTTTTGTCCCGAATGATTGCCCATCTATGAGTCATAGACAACATTCTTATTGCTTCACTTAATGAAGGTTGTCCTCACAAGTTTGACTTAAACTTGTTTTCTCAGAGAAGTTCTTTAAATTAAAAGATATGATTTTCCTTATCTCTTGACCTTTCACTTAGACGAGAGATCATCTTTGTCAAATGATGCTTATCCGAGAGTTGGTCATTTCATCTTTCGTTTGCAACAATCTTTCGTCCGACTTGGTGTCTTCAAGTCTTCAGCTAGACCTATTATGCTAGCCTCAACAAAGATTCGTACACTAGATTGTGTGAATCATTTGTTGAGTTACAACAGCTTTCATTCGTTTGTGACACAAGTTCTAACTACGAAAGAAAAATAGGGGTCTACAATCCTAGTGAGTTTGGTATCATCAAAATCTAATTACACTTGTTCCTAACAAGATTCATATGAGAAAATGTAACACCCCGTGTTACGGCCCTCAATCCCGGATTAATTATTAAATTAATCCCATCAATAATAATTAAATATGATTTAATTCGGTTAGGTTTCCTTTAATTAATTAATAAAGGTCCACCATGAACCGTGGACCCTTGCCTAAATTAGAGTCCTAAGCCTATTAGGAATAAAGAAAGTAAACCCTTTACTATTCAGATTCTAATTAGGAATCCTAGACCTAGTTATCTATTAGGAATAAAGGAAGTAAGCCTTTTACTATTCAGACTACGATTAGGATTCCCTTTAATTAATTAATTAATATGGCCCACTATGGACCATGGACCCTTATCCCTAAACCCAATCCTTAGTTCCAAAAGGAATAGAATTAGCAAGCCTATAATATTAGTTCCTAACCAGGACTCCTAAATATATAAATAGGGGACTTAAGAGACACCTAGAACCCCCCACCACAATAAACGTTCCACCACCCCAAAGTGCTCCAAGAATCCCCTTAGAAGAAATCAAGAAAGCAAGAAAGCTTAAAGAAAGACCCTTCATAGCCAAGGAATTAATTAAGGCTAAGAGGTAACCCATGTCTCAACAAAACCTATTTTCATAGCTATGATTTCCCCTTAGGGTTTCCCCCGTATGATTGTGAATGGCGAATTACTATGTTTATTATTGATGTTGATTTAATGATTCCATGGGGAATCTTGATAATCTTGATATTGGGAGTTTCTTGATAATTGTGATGTTCTTGATGATTAATTGGGATTCTTGATGATTATGTGGTGTCCTTGATGATTATGATGTTCTTGATGATTAATTGGCATCCTCGATGTTCATGTGTTATTCTTACCGAATCTTACAATTAGAAGATGAATCGTATTCTTGTTGATATAAAAGTGATTAGAACCCTAGGTTGTATCGTATGATCTTATTCTTGGATTGTCGGGTGGGAATTCGCATGTTTGGGTGTTGATTATGTTTAGAAAAGCATGGTAGATTATGTGCCGTACGGTTCTCGTATTTGATCCGTTAATTGTCTACGTGTTGTCATTAACTGCGTTGTAAAGTGTCTAAGCATGGTTTCGGGTTCCACAACGGTTCCCGGGACGAAAAGTGGTGAAAAGAGTCAGTGGGGGGTAGGTGGGGGTAGGGGACCCGCCACCTACCCGTGGCGTTCTCGGGCAGCCCGGCAGCGGGCAGCCGGCGGGCGGGCAGCTGCCCGCCGGGCACCCGCTGCCCGGAACAGTGGCAGCCGGCGGGCAGCCGGCGGGTGGACCACCACCCACCGGCTACCCGCTGGAATTTGTCCCAACTCGGGACCCCGGCTTCCCCGTTTGATGTTTCCCCGATCCCCGTGGTGTCCCAACGGACCCCGCTGGTCGTGCCTATGTCTAGTTTGATGTTTCGGGTACCGTTCGTAGGTTTATGAGTCTATTATATTGCATGCTAGTTGAATTGGTATCCCGTTGACCTAGGTGGAAGAAGTATGAACCCCTTAGGACTATTCTTAGTACGTGATGGATCACGCATAAGGTTATTACACGCTTTATCCCCCTTCCCAATGTGTAATGTGGGTTGCATGTGCTTGCTGTGTGTTATGTGTGCGTGTTACCCCAATTCGGTTGCGATCGGATTGGTTATCCTGAGCTGCGGTTCAGAAGCCGGCTATAGTCAGATGGGAATTCCTGGCTGTAGTCGGATGACGGTATCCTGGGCTGCGGTCCAGAAGCTGGTTGTAGTCAGATGGGAATTCCTGGCTGCAATCAGGTGACATCTTTCCTGAGCTGCGGTTCAGAGGCTGGCTGTAGTCAGATGGGAATTCCTGGCTACAGTCAGATAACACACTCTCTTGGGCTGCGGTCCACTGTTTGGTTGCGATCAAACATTATGATGAGCTGCGGTTCATCGGTCGGTTGCGATCGACCCCTCCGTGTTGCGATACGGGGCAGGGTGCTGCGGGGCCGTGTCAGAGCTATATGCGCTGACCCTCATGTATGGGCATGCGATTGGTCCTGTGGCGCCAACAAAGTGTGCTATGTGTTGTGATATGGATGAGTTGTGATTATGAGTGCCTTGGGGGAATGTGACTGTGGGATTTATGTTGGGGATTGTTTATGTTGGGTTGTGATTATTGATGCTCTGCCTTATCTGCCTTATCTGTTGTGAACTGTATATGCTCGTTATAACTGTTGCTTGTGTCTGGCCTTATCTGTCGAGTCATTCCCGGTTTTAAAGCTAGAGTTCGTAGGATATATCTTCATGCTCAAAATGGTTTTCGTATATCTATATATATCTCTATATGTATTGTATTTCAACGCGTTGGAGTGGGTTACCAGCATCTCTCGCTGAACAGATATATTTGGCTTTCAGGCACAGAAGATTAAGTCACTGGAGTGCGCTAGAACTTAGAAGTAGATAGTTTCCCTTTTGGCCTGCGTGCCACGTTTACGTACTTACGCTTTGAGGATATTAGTTAGTTAGCCTGTGCACTTGGGTTCTCTAGCCCAGGTGTGGCATAGCACCCCGAACGCTTGTATTTATATCTTGGGATTTAATAAGATTCTACCTTTATTATAAGTTTTAAATGTCTTGAAAATCTGGGGTGTTACAGAAAACATAAGTAAATGGGCCTCCACTTGAGCCTCCAAAGATAAGGGTACATGAACAGCCATTTGATCTCCATCAAAATCTGCATTGAACCCCTTATAAACTAATGGACATAAATAGATATCAAGACCCTCCACTGAAACGGGCTGGAATGCCTGTATGCCTAATCTATGCAGAGTGGGCGCTCTATTTAGCAATACAGGATGCCCCTGCATAACTTCTTGAAGTATTTCCCATACAATCGGTTCTTTTTCTCGAATTTTACTTTAGCAACCCCTATGTTCGAAGCAAGATGTTGTCTAATTAGACCGCGAATTACAAATGTCTGGAAAAGCTCTATTGCTATTTCGCAACTGCAGTTTAAGAATCTGAAGGTTATTTTTGAACCAGGGTCCACAATGCCAGATAGACACTGGTGCATTGTATAATTTGCCATTATTTCTTTACATGATTTAATTTCATTTTTTGACCTCCATTTATAGGTTGTAGTCCACTTTTAGTCATTTTTATCAGAAACTTCTCACTTGGTCTTAGTACTATTGTGGCATGACTATTTTTGGTCATTCGTCAACAAAATCGATAAAATGTTATTAAATACAAGGACACTTCGATCTTTTTTATACAATGTAGATTGACCTGCTAAATTTTTTATGTTTATTTTTTTGAAAAAATTCATAACTGATGCCCGAAATGACTTTGTGTTTAACGATATTTAAACTGTTTTATTGATAGAGGACAAAAATGATCATACTGTTAGGAACCATGTATTAGGATTTTGATGATACCAATGTAATGTAGAAAGTAGACCCCTAACTCTTTCGTTTTTATTGTATCGCTACTTTCGTTTTAGACGAAAGTTGCCATAACTCATATGTAATTCGTGTTAAGCTAGAACAAACACACGAAAGGAGTTATGAATAGAAGATA